TATTAGCAGGTGTTCCACACATTCCAACTATTTAAACACCAGTAATGAAGACAATGAAGACTGTGGAAGGAACACTTACGTTGTCATCAGGAACAACTGCATATCTCTCAATTGGAGAAACCAAAGCTTTCCCTGCTCACGGAAAAAAAATAATAATAATAACAATAATAATGGAATTCAATGTAGTCCAAAATAGTGTAATAAACTCTTAACTTGAGTTGCTTAAAAAACAAATATAGACAGAGAAAGGGAAGTCACACACCTGTAGATGGGTCAAGTTTTGAAGATTCTATCTGTTGTCCACTAGATCCATCCGCACTCAGAGATTCTATCATCTTTGGAATGTTTCTACAAATTTTCGAGGAAAAAAAAATCTAGAAGTTTATGAGTTACACAAGAGTATGCCATAATTGAGAAGGCATGTGATGTTCAACTACAAAGTATAGAAATAGACACACAACACGACATTGAAAAAATGCAGGACACAGACCGTGTGGAAAACGTGCAAAATATATAATTTTAAAATTTATCGTACGTCACATACACAAATATTTATTTAAAAAATTTAAAAATTACAACATAACATGAATTCCTAAAGTTTAAAGGATGAGGGATTAATAGGCGTAAATATACATTGTTTTTCTTTTATCATTGTATTTTAAGTTATTTTGTTCAAACTATATTGTGTTTCATGTGTCTAAATGACAGACTTATGTGTTCCCAGAGTGTCCAAAACATGTCCGGTTCTCAAAAAAATAATAGGACACGCTTGGACGAATGTCCGACATGGACACACCTTAGAAGTGTCTGCACTTCTTAGGTGTTCAGTCCCACAAAACAAAACAAAACAAAACAAAACAAAAAAAAAAACAAGTAAACTCAAATAAATATGAACAAGTAGACCATTCTACAATATACAACCTTATGCTAGAAAACAATTAAAAGGAAATAAAATGGGCAACTTAAAAACTATTTAATAGCCCTGGGTACCAGTTTAGAGGCATTCCATGCCCAAAGCCAAATACAAAGTATCATATGAAACTCATAATGTCAAAATATTGGGCCAATCCAAAAGCTATTACCGGTCAACTGACTCCCCATGCCCAAGCTGTCCATTTGTACCTTTTCCCCAAGAAAATACATTTTGTCTTTCAATAAAAACAAGTGTATGCCTCCACCCACATGAGATCTGAACTACTTTCTGCAAGTGAAAAACCAAACCAGCAAAAGATAGTGATAATTAAAAAAGACCCCATATAAGAAATCAAAACCAGCAATATTCTCCTTTAACTAAACATTAAGGCCAATGGACCAAGTAATATAATATGGGAACCCCTTTGGTACACACCCCTTATAGGGTGTGTATCATATGCACCTCCTTTAACTAAACATTCTGATGCTCTTTTATTAAGCAAATTCCTTTAAAAATTTCAAAATCTCTGTCAACCACACAGTAACTAAACGCTTCACAAGTTAGAATACATCAACCGAACTCTATTGACTTATTAAACAGTACCTTGTCACCAAGAAGACAGAGAAAGAGAACAGAGTATTGAGATCTCTAAACAACAAATTCAAGCAGATAAAGAATACAACAAATTCCATATTCTAATTCTTTTCACTAGATTTTCTTGTCTAAAGAAAAGAACATAAAGGAACTGATACCAAATTAGGAAATCATAATCAACTCCATGAAAACCGAAAAGGTTACCTGTGAAATAAAATTTTCACGCAGGGCTTCCAGCCTATGAGGTATGAGGTGGTCTTCAAAATCTCCATGTCCTAATTGACCATACTTACTCCACCCATAAGTGTATAAACCACCAGAAGATGAGACAGATATTGTATGCCTCCATCCACAGGCAACCAGAACCATCTTCTCTGCCTGGAACTTGGAAATATTACAACTTGATATTTGAAGTAAACAAGTTTGAGACAGACAGAGATAAAACACAGAACAAATTATAAAGCATTAACAAAGTAATTGGAAACAGCTTCTGCTAAAATTGCCTATTATGGAAACACAAGACTGTTCTACAAAGTTAATAGAGGAAAATACAGAAGGGTTTTTTTTTCCTTAATCATACAGTTCCCAAAATGCTAGCTTTCTAGCATTTTTGGCTTAACTAATGGCATTTTTAAGTGGCTAAAGTTGAATTTTTGGTGGGTAATGGACATGCCAAATGACCTAGTGCTTTTTTTTAGAAAAATGCATTTATAAGAGCAGCAAGTTTGAGTAAAAATTGGTTAAAAGCTTGATGGGATGCTCCAATAGCTTTTCATCAAATAAAACCAAATATTTTTATCTACCTCTTTAGTCGTTATTGCTCAAGTAAATGATAAACTATGCAAGGCTCTAATTTGAAAGGAAAAGAAAACAAAATGAAGATCAGTTACCTTAATAACTTTTCTGATGCAAACCTAGCCATGTCGATCCTCAAATCATTAATGATCTCCCAATCCTGCTCCAATCAACAACAACACTCATTTCAAACTTACGAAGTGTAGAAATGAATACACAGAGAATAGAGATGTAAACTAGTCAAACTAAAAATTAGTTAAATGGGGAGATGCAAAATAAACTAAACAAACAAACAACAAATGAGACTTGTTCAACTGAAAAACTTCAACCAAATAATACTCAACTTTTAGAGCGGACGACATTTTGTGAGACGGATCAGAGGAGAAACCGAAATAAAAAATCTAAACTTCAATTATGTAGATCAGATCGTCAAGGAAACACAAGGTTTCCAATGGAATTCCTATATATAGAGCAGGTTGGCGATTACAGATGCGAAGAACCAAAAACAAGAAGAAGAAGAAGGAGAAGAAAAAGAAGAAGAAGAGATGAGAACGTGAATTATGAATACGATTACAGAGAGATATAGAGAGAGCAGAGAGAGGGTGCTTTCCTCCTTGTGATATGGAAGGGGAGAGAGTAATCTGACGGTGCGCATACACTTCAGGTTTCTGATGTGAGAGCAGTAGAGGGAAAGCCAACGGAGTGAGAAACAAAAGAGTGAGGCTCCTTAACCCCGTTACTCGACACCATCGTCCGCCGTGCTCACAGTCGCAAGAGAGACAGAGATGGGGATTATTGGTTCAAAAATTAGGGATTTGAGATTTGGGGATTTTTGGTTGGGGAGGGGAGGGAAAAACGAGCGGGAATGGAAAGGGGGGGGAATGGAAATTTTTTTGGAATTTTTTATTTTTATTTTCATTACAAATGAATATTTAAATAATAAAACGATTCTTTTTTTTCGCAACGGGGGATTTGCTAAAAAAATTATTTTTTATTAAAATAATTTTTTTTTATAGTTAATGAATTTTTTTTCCCATTTAGTAATGTTGAAAATTTATTTTATTCATATATATTTTAATGAATAAAAAATTATTATTATTTTTTTATTTGGTAGAAGTAGGGATAATATTTTCTATTAAAATAAAGTTAATTTTTTGTGGTCAATGAAAAATATTTTTTCCCGACCCTTTTTTTTTTTGTTACTAAAAATCAAGAACTAATTTTTTGTGGTAGAGGATAAGAAGTGGCAATAGTGGTGAAAGTGGTGGATAAGAGGTGATAGTGGTGGTGGTAGTGATGGTGAAGGAGATAAGTGGTGAAGTTGTGGTAGTGGTAGAGGAGATAGAATAGCGGTGGTAGAGGAGAGGTAATGGTAGTAGTAGTGGTAGTAGTGGAATGATAGCGATGGCGATAGTAATGATAGTTGTAGAGGTGAAGTGACCACAGTGGTAGTAGTGGAATGGCATTTGCAGTAGTGGTGAATGTGGTAGAGAAGATGGGTGGTGAGAGAGAAATGAGTGAGAGACAGATAGAAAAGAGAGAAAGAGAGAGAGAGAGAGAAGGAGAAAGAGAGAAACAGACAGAGACAAAGTGATGAGCGAGAGAGAGACAAAGTGGTCGCTAAAAGTGTATTTTCTTATAGTGGAAAGCTCGGTAAATAGAGAAGAAATGAGGGAGGGAGTGAGCAAGGTGAACACAATGGGAGAGAGAGACAAACAGACAGATAGACACATAGAGAGAAAGTGAGAGAGAGAGAAGAGCGAGAGACAGACAAACAGACACAGAGAGAGAAGAGTGATAAGTGAGAGAAAGACAAAGAGAGAAAGAGATATAGAGAGAGAGAGAGAGAGACAGGGAGAAAGAGATAGAGAGAGACAGAGAAAAATAGAGAAAGAGAGATGAGAGAGATAGAGAGAAAAGACATGAGCGAGAGACAAAGAGAGAAAGAGAAAGAGAAAGAGATAGAGACAGAGACAAAGACAGACAAACAGAGAAGAGTGATGAGTGAGAGAGAGAAGAGAGGTAATATTTTGTGGCAGAGAAGAGGAAGCGGCAGTAGTGGTGAATGTGGTGGATAAGAGATGATGGTGGTGGTGATGGCGAAGGAGATTAGTGGTGAAGTTGTGGTAGTGGTAGAGTAGATGGAGTGGCAGGGGTGAAGAGAAGTAATGGTAGTAGTAGTAGTGGCAATAGTGGTAGTAGTGGTAGTGGAGTGGTGGCGGTGGTAGTAGTAATGGTAGTCGTAGAGGTGAAATGGCGACCGTGGTAGTAGTGGTGGTAGTGAAATGGCATTTGCAGTAGTGGTGAAGGTAGTAGAGGAGATGGGTGGTGAGAGAGAGAGATGAGTGAGAGACAGATAGAGGAGAGAGAGAGAGAAACAGAGACAGAGTGGTGAGCGAAAGAGAGACAAAGTGGTCGCTAAAAGTGTATTTTCTTATAGTGGATCGATAAATCCAGAAGGAGCTCGATAAATAGAGAAGACGAGAGTAAAAGAGTGAGCAAGGAGAACATAGTGAGAGAGAAATAGACAAATAGACAAGTAGACAGATAGAGAGAGAGAGAGAAGAGTGATGAGTGAGTGAGAGACAGAGAGAGAGAGAGATAGACATAAAAAGAAATAGAGAGAGAGAGAGATAGATGGAGAGATCGAAAAAGAGAGAGAAACAAGAGATGAACGAGAGATAGACAAAAAAGAGAGAGAAATAGAGCAAAAAGAGATGAGCGAGAGAGAGACACAGAAAAAGAGAGAGACAGAGAGATAAGAGAAATAAGCGAGAGAGATAGAGAGAGATAGAACAATAAGAGAGAGAGAGAAAAAGAAAAGAAATGAGAGAGATAGAGAGAAGAGAGATGAACGAGAGAGACATAGAGAGAGATATAGAGAAGAGAGATGAATGAGAGAGACATAAAGAGAAGAGAGATGAACAAGAGAGACTAAGAGAGAGATAGAGAGAAGAGAGATAAGCGAGAGAGATAGAGAGAAGAGAGATAAGCGAAACAGACAGAGAGAGAAGAGAAACAGAGAGAGAAGAGAGATGAGAGAGATAGAGAGAAGAGAGATGAACGAGAGAGACATAGAGAGAGATATAGAGAAGAGAGATGAATGAGAGAGACATAAAGAGAAGAGAGATGAACAAGAGAGACTAAGAGAGAGATAGAGAGAAGAGAGATAAGCGAGAGAGATAGAGAGAAGAGAGATAAGCGAAAGAGACAGAGAGAGAAAAGAGATGAGAGAAGAGATAGATAAATGAGAGACACAAAAAAATGAATAACATACATTAAAAAAATTACAATAACAATTTTTTTTGGACAAATAAATAAATAAAATAAAATAAAAATAAAAGTAAAAGAAACAACTCTAATAAGTACAGAACTAAATTAGTATATCACAACTAGTCATAGGCATGTACATTAAACTAACTACTTAACAATGGTGTAGTTAGACACAATATTATTTTATTTAAGTAACTAATGGCCAAATTATTAAAACTAACTGAACTAAACTATTTTAAGCAATCAAAATAATTAAAAGAATAAAAGACACAACCTATTAAATAATAATAAAAAAAAATTAGATATGCTAAACAATTTTTTTTTGAATTGCCGCACGTGTGCCGACGGGGACTGCACGTGCAGCTGGTGCTCCGCCCAGAATTGTTTTCCAGTTTTTATTTATTTATTTAATATAAAGATGAACCTTGAACAATGGTAGGGACAAGAAACAGAAAAGCTCCATTAAACTAAAATAAACTCAACTACAAGTTAAGATTAAAAGAAGAAAAACACAAATCTACACAAAAAGAATGATTTACTTTGAAAGAGTGAAGAAAGAGAGAGAAAGATTTGAGATCCGAAAAAAAAAAATGGTGGTCACCGGAGATCCACCGGACGAAGAGAAGGTAGGGCGCTGGCGGTGAGGCTTCGGTAGTAGAGTGGTGGTGAGAAGAGGTTGGGTGAAGGTTGCTGATGATGGGAAGAAGAAGAAGGAAGAAAGATGGTGGTGGTGGGGCTGAGTGAAAGAGAAATAGAGGAAGAAGATGATAAGGTAGATAGATAGAGAGAGAGAGAGAGAGAGTGAGAGAGAGAGAGAGAAAGAAAGAGAATGAGAGGTAGAGAGTCTGCAGAGATGACTGACGGGTTTTACAAAGTCAAACGTGTTTCTTGAGTCATTTATCAAAACTTTCCGATGTCCCATAAAAAAATTGAGTTAATTATAAAACAATAATGTCATTTGATGGGGAAAAAAAGAAAAGAAAAGAAAACAATAATGTCATCTTTAAATAATAATAAAATTATTTCAAATATGAGTGAGTGGTTTTAAACAATGAGAAATGATATTGGAGCGCATAAATATGTATTAATATATGGGGTATTTACATTTCAATTAGTCCGGTCGTTTTGGAAAGTAGGAAATAAGTCAATTTATTAATTTATTGGTTTGAATCACATCATTTTTTTTAAAATTTTTTTACACTTTTTTTAAAAAAATAAAAAAGCCAATAAGCTGGCTTATTTTAGATATTTGATCTACCAAATCTTAATTCTCATATTTAAAGTATTTTATGGATAATTTT